TTTTCTATTTGCAAATTATTTTTATTTTTCAAGTATTCGATTTATTTTGAAAAATCACAATCTGAAATAGACGATGTTAATATGTGCATGATTATTTATATTAATATATAACGAATGAGTTAATATTTATAAACTATAGAGAGCGAAAATAAAACATAATACATAAAAAACATAAAACATAAAATTTTTGAAATTACAAATTAAAGTTAAAATGATAGTAATACCAGTTTCGTGTTTTGAAGAATTATTTTCACATATATAAATTTAAAATTAAGTATAGTGAACGTTCGTTACACATTTTGAATATAACACTACTATGATACGTTTATATATTATACATAAGCAGTCACGTATTAAGGCACAGGCTACTATGGATATTCAGAATTCAATATAATACAATTTTTGTTAATATCTCGAAAACTATAAATTTAATCTGAACAATTATTGTAATTTTTAAGATTTTTCGATTAAAGTACATATCATATCATCAACTCGTCCCAATAAATAAAATCTTATAAAATTTATTTTTCTATGAGTTAGTAACAAAATTTTTAAAAATATTTCTTAGTTGTACAATAATCGAAAATACAAAATCAAAAACACAATTAAGACAATAGAAAATTAATTCTCACAAACAAATACACATTTAAAATATATGTTTTGAAAAAATTTGTTAAAAATCTAAAATAATTTTTATTTAAAAATTTTATTTGATTTCCTAAATATCAATTAATAAATCAATTAATATTGTTATAAAAAATATAAAATAATAAAATTGACATAAAAACGATTTCATTACATTTCAAATTATTTATGTAGAGAGATTATGCAATATTTATCTTAATATCATATATTTAATAATTTTTTTATACATTGACACACAGAATTCAACTTTTTAATTTAATTTTTAATTTTTTAAACAAAAGTATATAATTTTTATTCTATTAATTATATTATAAATATAATTATAAATATGTATAATTTCATTTTTACAAAAGTTAATTATTAAAAATAATAATTAATAAAAATTTAAATATTAATAATTATTTACAAAAGAATTCTCTTTTTTCAATTTTAATAACTTTGAAATATGTTATATTGAACAATTTTATATGATTCTGAATAGTTCTTTTAGACTATAGAAATCGCAAAGAAATTTTTGTAAATAATTACCAATATTTTAGATGGAAATTTGTCATATGAAAGATGAAGAAAATATGAACAGCAAAATATCGTTTTATATATTCAAAACAAAAATTATCAAATTAAACTTAAAATTATCAAATTAATAAATTTATTGAACATAAATGAAATAAGGTAAATTTATGAGATTATATTATTTTATATTTAAATTATAAATCCACTTTCTGTGATATATATTTAAATAATTCTAATTTAACTGTAATAATAATGAAATTCGATCATATTTATATGAAAAACTTTATTTGAAAGTAATTATAATATTATTATTAAAAATCATAAAAGTTTTAGGAATAATCATTATAATATAATATAAATTATTATAAAGAAAAAACTTTTATCTTAAAATCTATTATTCAATTATGAAAAAAATTTTTCAATATTTTTATATGTAAATAAATATGTAATGATATTTAAAAAAAATATTAAAATAAATATTTTCATATTATTTTTGTAAATATTTTTTTATTTAAAAATTTAAAAGAATATGAAATTTTTTAAAAATTATTCTAACAGGTCTAATAGGTTTTTTATTCGTTTTTTGAAAATATTATACTTGACAATATATTTTACGCAAAAAATCGAATAAAAATCAAATAGTTTCATAAGTATATGCTTTAATACGTATATATTGTTTACTTGATTCTTACTAATATTTTAATAACTATTTCATCGTATGATCATTATTCATGAATAGAAACGTATTTATGATTGAAATCAATGTCAAATTTCTAAATTGATATGGCACTTTGAAGTATATTGAAAAACAATAAGATGTTTTGTTTATTCATATATCATAGAAATGTATACAAACGAAACATATAATACATTTACTGTTCCACGTTGAGAAGCTTAGAGTTTCCTTATCATTTGAATGTCATTTCCAATATTATCGATTCACAGAATAAGATTATAATATTCATGGTTAGTGGTACATCAGTAGTTAGAAAACTATATTTTAATAGCATGAGTTAAATAAAACAGATTGTTTTATAAATTTAAATAAGGTATAAAATTAAAAATTATTATAAAATAATTTAATTGGAATAGAAAATATTATGTTTTTAATTTTTTTACAAATTTGTATCATTTTTATTATTATAGCAAAATCACAAGAATATGATAAACATATTTTTACAAACGGAAATTAAATTATAGGAATTCAATTTTTAAATTAATTATGTTTAATTATTTATGCTCTTGTTAATTAAAAGAATATGATTTATTGATTTCAAGGCGGTTATCTCTTTGTTGAATAGAATGCGAATATATAATCTTGTCAGTATTTTTTATAAGTTTGAAATATATATTTTAAAACAAGTTTATTAAAGAACTACTCCACTACTACTATTAAAGAACTAACTCTCAGAAATGTAAATAAAAAAGTTTAATTATTAAACAATTTATAATTATTATCCAATTTATAATATATTATAAAAAAAGCTTTTACTCAATAAAAATGCTTAAACAATAAAAAAAAAATGTAGAAAATAAAAAATTTAAAGAAAAATGAGAATTGAATTATTTCTGTATAGAAATGAAAAATAAAATTATATATATTATATGCTATTAAAAAACTAAAAAATATTAATAATGATGCTACAAGAAATAATAGTCGAAAAAAAATTGAAAACTTCAAAAACTTATTTTAAATTCAATAATAAATATACACAAAATGTATGAAAAATAATGATAAAGAGAACTACGAAATTACTACGTGATTTATTAGCAAAACATTTAAAATTATTTATTTTATCTATTAGAATAAAATTTTATTAGGATAAAAAAATTATATATATATATATAATATTTGCATATATGTATATAGTTATAAGTTGAAAAAAATATATAATTATATATTTATAAATATAATTTATTATTATAATTTCTTATTAATATTTTTTTGTAACATTTCATTTTCTGTATTATTAATAATTAGAAAAATATTTTTAATTGATGTAATTTTTGTTAGAAATTTTATTAATGAAAATTTTTTAAAAATTAAATTTAATTAAAAAAATTAAATAACAGAGAATAATGAAAAAAAAACTAAACATTATGTATAAAAAATAATAGATTACCAAAGAAGATTATATTAATTAATATAGTTATTGATATGTATAATTATATTATATTGTAACTATACAATATTATGAACAGTGACAAATGAAGTAATATATGATAATAAAATATTCTGCTTCAATTACACAAACTCTTCCGAGATTTTTCTTTTTTTATAAATTTTTACAAAATTCAATACTGTAGCAAATTGTCAAATTTTTTATAAAAATGTAAAAGTATTGTGCAAATTGGTTTTTAAATTTGATATTCATTTTCAATTATTTAAAATCAAAAATAATTATCGGGTAATATTCGGAAATATTTTCTTTATCTTTTAAGATCAATTTATTAATCTATTAATTATTATTTTTAATTTTTATATATATTTTCCTTATTTTTGTAATCGCATGTTTTGACAAAAAATTGCATTTTTTGAAAACTAAAATGATACAACAATTCTATTTTTAGATTCATATCTAAAAAATTCTATAAAAATCATCCAATGTTATCGTTATTTAATATTTAAAAAATTATTTATCAAAATATAATTAATAATTTCTAATTTATAATTGTTTACTTAACCTTTCAATTTTAAATTATTTTCTTAATTGTTTTTCTCTTCATAACTTAATTTTAATATTTATAATAAATAAGAAATAATATAATAAATAAATATATAAATACATTTATAATTATTTTAATATTCAATTTTCTTACCTTAATATAATGACAAATTATTCATCACGAAAATTTATATTAAATTTTTAAATATTTTCTAAAAACTTCAAAACCATGTAAAAATGTTTAAAAACATTGAATATTTGATTTAAAATAAATATGAGAATTATTCATTTTTTATGAATTATGCTATCAAAATGAAGAAATTTTCTGATAAAAATGTTTTTTTTATAAATTAAATAAAATTAAATGGATATAACAAATATTTTTTCTTCTTTTTTAAAACAAAATTATTTTTATTATAAATAAATTTATTAAAAATAATTTGTAAATAATATATATATAAAATATTTTATTATATATAAAATTATCTGTATAATTATATACAAATCTAGTATTTTCTTTTTCTGTTAATAAGAGAAATATTAAATATAAAAATGTGTATTAATTTTTGATTAAACTAATTTAGAAAATTATATACAACAAATCCTAAAGTATTAAAGTATCTAACAGTGGCAATGAAAAATTAATTTTTCGGTATGAATTGTGGTTTCGCCCCGGTGTTGAGATTAGTCGCGTGCGGTATAATCCACCGGACGATGATTTCTTTTGAGATTACGATTTCAAACTCGAAATTTGTGTGACCATGTCCGATGACACGATGCACGATTTACAATGAGTTACGATTGCCCGAGAAGTATTCGGTAGTGTTGACTGGCCGAAGGTCTTATCGGTAGTGAACGTTAGCCAGAAAGAAAGTCGCTCAGATGGACTCTCTTCCTGGCTAATTGGGAGTGTCCCAATTATGAGTGAGGAAAAAGTCGGTGCTGTAATTGGAGTATCGACATCACTCGATGTAAGTCCAGGGCGGACGAGCAGGTGTATTAGAACAGAACATTCCACGGTTGAGGCGAATGTTTTGGGTAACCTAAGCAAAAATCTCAGCTGTTTTTGCTCAGGCTTACTGACGCCTTCTCGCGCGATCGCGGGGGAGCCCTCGACCGAAACTCTTTGGAATGTTCTGTTTACAGGCCGCGACCATTCCGTTGAACCGCTCGCGTTCAATTCCTCGTGTGGTTGGTCCGGTCCGGCTGTTCGTCGTGACTGGGAAGCGCTGAGTCGTCCACAGATAGAAGGCAGATCTTAGCCACTGGTCTGGTGAGAGTGACAGTGCTAGTATGCACTGACACGTCATTCCGTCTGATCTTGGATGCAGCTGGACTATTCGGCCTAGTCTCCATCGCTGTGGCGGAAGGTTTTCGTCTTTGAGCACGACTAGCCTGCTCACTGTCATGGTCTGAGGTCCTGGGTCTCGCCATTGCCTCCAGAACTGTTGCTGTATCGTCTGCAGCAGTTGAAATCTGGACAGGCGACTGACATCCGTGATGTCAGGATGGATTATATCAGTGATAGGACCTCCCGTGAGGAAATGGAATCAGAGTCTCGTGGATCCGACGACAGAGGATGCAGTGGTTTAGAGTTCATGCATGCCTCGACCCGGGCCAGCATGGTGTTGAACTCTTCGTAAGTGAGACGTGTCTCTCCAATTGTTCGCAGAAGGTGTCTCTTGGCAGACCTAATTGCAGTCTCCCATAGTCCACCAAAGTGTGGTGCGTGTGGGGGCATAAATCGCCATTCGACACTCTCTGCGATCGCATGGTAACCGATCGACTTCCCATTCCACTGGAGGAACTTGCGGATCCGCCGTAGTTCGTTATACGCGCCCATGAAATTGGTTCCGTTGTCTGAGCAGATCTCTCGGCATCGCCCCCGGTGCGCGAGGAACCTGCTCAGACAGTTCAGGAACGCTTCTGTGGTCGCCTCCAAATGAACCGTCTTGGTGGCCAGACACATGAAGACGCACAAATAGGCCTTAAATGTAATACTCTTACTTCGGAACCGTTCCTTGATGCTTGTACACGTACTCTTGCCCCTGATAATTAGCCCATCTGGTACTTCTCAGTCCTGGGTTGCACTTCCGAATCATCCCTCGCAGCGTGCTTCTAGCTGAGAGAGGCCAGTAATGCCTACGAATTTATGACAAGACTGTCTCGCATCCGGCATGCAGCAGTCGCTCGTACTCACCGCGCAGGAGAAGCTTGGTGAGATATTCACCTTTCGGAAGGATCACTGAATGTCGATGGTTGTATGTTCGTGCAGCCCGCTCCAAACACCCCCCAACTCTGAGGAGTCCCTTTTCGTCGAGGAAGGAACTCAGACATCTCAGGGAGCTGAATCGTACCAGTCCCCTCCCCAACTTCAGGTCCGCGATTTTCTTGGCAAAGGTGTGCGCCTGTAGCCACCTCAAGATGGCACCCTCCGCGAGGTCGATCTCTGTAGTGGTGAGAAGGAGATCCGAGTGGTTGTGTGACTCTGTAGAGGCTGTCGATTCTTGCCCCGAAAGTCGTGCGAGGACCGCTCGGAAGAATTTTATGCAGTACGCGATAATTCGCGTGAGTCGCGTATAATTTGAATACCTCTCGAAGGTATCAAATTGTGGTCGTGCCGTTATGGACATGCAAACTGGAGCGCACTCCTCGGATAGCTCACTCGATACCGGGTACGCACGGGGGCAGTCGTCCTGCCTCTACCACAGCCAGGAGGGACCATCCCACCAAAGACGCAAGTCTTGTAAGATGGATGGCCTCACCCCCCGCGATAGCAGGTCATCAGGTGGGCACGTGATGCCATTCGCCTCGCGAATTCGTCTGAATCTGCGCAACCCGGTTCGCGACAAACGTCCTCCAGCGACTGGGATGACCTCCTATCCATGCGAGGGTGATGGTGGAGTCGGTCCAGTACGTCTCGCTCTTGAAGCAGATGCCAGACGACGTTCGCACCTTCTCCACCAACTCCGACAACAGCAAGACTCCGCATAATTCAAGACGCGGCAAGCTGATCTTAGGAGAGCGACGCGTGACTTCGCACAAAGTAGCCGAACCATGGTTTCCGTATCCTTGACGACGCATAGGTAAACGCACGCGCCATAGGCCTTCTCCGAAGCATCGCAGAAAGCCTATAGTTCCACGACGGGGCCGTTGCTGATTGCACACTGCGGAATGGCAATGTGTCTCAGGGATCTGAAATCCCCAAGTAGTCTCTAAATTGCGTACGAATGTCTTGAGACACCGACTCGTCCTAAGACACTCCCAACTTCCTAGCTCCTGAAGTAGTAGCTTCGCAGGAAGCACTGCCGGGCCCACCAACCCGAGAGGATCAAAGATTCTCGCGGTCTCCGACAGGATTGTTCGCTTGGTTATTATCGCTGGGGTAGTAAGTGGGTCATTCAACTCAACAAACAATTGGTCTGGCATCGGCTCCCAACGCAGACCGAGAGTACGAGGATCCTTCTCGGGTTGGGGGCCCACGATTATGAACTCACCCGTGACACTCTTCACAACTGAGAGCTCATCGGACGCCCATTTCCATAAATTGAACCCTGTTGCCCGTAAGAGAGTCTGCAGATCCTTTTTGAGCACGATTACTTCTTCCACAATGTTTGCACCCGTCAGAGGGTCATCCACGTAGAAGTCGCGGAAGATAGACGAACTAGCCGCTAGATGGCTCGCGGTGTTGTCCAACCCCACCTGTCGCAACATTCGTGTGGTCAGATAAGGAGCTGAGGCCGTGCCATAAGTGACCGCGTTCAATTCGTATGTCTCAATCGGATCCTGGGGGGCCTCCCTCCACAATATGCGTTGCAGAGACCGCTGATGAGGAACAACCAAGACTTGTCTATACATCTTTTCTATGTCTGCACTTAGGACTACCCGATACATTCGGAAGCGTATTAGGATTGATAAGAGGTCCTTCTGGATCGGCGGTCCGACCTGCTGTAGATCGTTGAAGGAGACTCCCGTCGAGGATTTTGCCGAGCCATCGAATACCACTCGAAGCTTAGTAGTCGTACTACTTGCTTTGAGCACCGTGTGGTGAGGCAGGTCCGGTGGGTACCTCAATAGTTACGTCGACCTTGGCCATGTGACCCAAGGCTCGTTTTCAGGAACCGACTCTCGCAAGGGCGTCACCTCCTCAGTCGACACACCTTCCAAATCCCAGAATTGTGACAGCTGACGATTCAGCTGTTCGTTCGTAATAACGCTATATACCGCCGATTCCGTACGTGGGACGTTGGACAACTATCCGCCAAATACCCATCCTAGCTGCGTTTTTAAGAGGCTTGGCAGCCCTTTTCCCAGCCTGATCCGTCCCACGGACATGATATCGCACAACTGGCCATTATGAGATCCACTTCGCGTGGAACACCAAACTAGGGATCTGCCAGAGAGATCTGCGACTGAACGTGAATCGCGGATTCTGGGATCCGGGTGGCGGCTATGTCGCCGGTGATTGTATCCATGATCAGGCACGGCAGGACGGTTTGAAATCCGCTATACCTTGATGATATCTGTACCCGCGCTAAACCGAATACCGGTCGACGACCCCCAATACCCTGAATAGTTGTCTGATGCGCCTCGCACGGCAGATTAAGATGTCACAAGAACGAGGCTTTATATCTACCTTTGAGCCCTGATCGAGTAGGGCTCGGCATTCCTTGTCCGTAACGTAGACAATGGCGGTGGGTAATATAATCTGAAGGCGTGAGATCCCCATCAGATCGGGCCGCGCAAGTCTGAGGAGTGGTATTCACGGGAGCCTCCGCCACGGTATGGTTGGTTGTTGGTGTCATTATGGATTTCTTTCCCACATGGAGCAAGGTGTGATGCTTCTCCTTGCACTGCTTGCATGAGTCCCTGCTACACTCCTTGGCTTCATGTCCCGCACGGAGGCAGTTGAAGCAAACTTCAACTGCTTAGCGTGAGCAATGCGGGCTCAATCGCGAGTATTTTGAATTGTTTGCGAGTAGATGCTTCGAAATACAGTGTGGGCAAACCGGGGCCTTCGTGTTCACCAAGGCGACAGTTTTCGCGCGCGATCCCTCCGACGACGACGGTTTTGATTTCGAAGTGTCCGTGCGCTTTTCCACGGCAGACAAGGAAGCGTACTGTCGCTTGAGGAAAGCCCACATGTCCGAAAGAGTCGCCAGCTGGTCCAGGTCGGCCGTGGCCTGCACCCAGCTCTCAGTTATTTGTGGGTGGAATTTGTTCTCAAGAAAATATATGATCATCCCAGTTTTGGACCGGCATCCCCAGTGATTCTAATGCCTTGAGTTGGGCAGTACATTCGTTAAAGAGCCGTCGCAGTTCCGCTGCCGACCGTGATCATATCTCGGGAAGCTCGAACAACCGTCCCAAATGGTGCCTTACAATGGCGTTAGTTTGATCATAGTTGCTACGCACGTAATTATCCTCCGACATCGGTACCGATTCCAGAACCTGCTGTGCTCCACCCTTTAGGGCTGTCTTGAGGTACTGGAACTTCTCTATGTTGGTGAGTGAATCATCGCGATTGATTCAAAGCTATCAGAGAAATAGATCCACTCACCCAAGTTGCCGCTGAAGAGTGGTGTAGCTACCGGAGGTAACCGTTGTAGTTTGTGGGCCCGAGGCGATTGAGAGACCGGTGTGGACGTTCGCTTGGGATCGCTTGCGGATACCGAAGACGCTCGAAGGCGACCGAGGTGACTTATGACCGCACCCTTTAGTTCGAAATATTGCGTTTCGAATTCTTCGAAGAACCGCAGGTGGGCTTCTTCGTCTGCGGTATTAGAAACAAGGGTTTGTATTCGATCCTGTATAGGCTCAATTCTATCCATCAGCCCCGCAACCCGGTCTAGCCAGGACTGGAGAACTTCGGCTTCCTCTGGTTCACAGTGTGTATCATAGAAGTTCTTGAACCTCGTCAGGATCGCCTTTATCCGTCCTCCACGAGTTTGCAAAGTTCCTCAGTAACAGGTGCCATGCCGACCCGAATAAAAGAGTGAACAAACTCCAAACTCACCGGATCGATGGAATCAAGATAGATGTCGCCTGTTTAGTCTCCACTGCTTAGGCTCGATGAAGGCCGAAGTCCGCTGTTCTTGATCTCGTGTCCTCCCAGTGAGAAATCTTTCCGACGTTGCTGGATCCGCCGAAGATGAATGCCGGAAAACCGTTCTTGCTCGAAAATCCGGTTCGAAGGACGATGGTGAGATTAGTCGCGTGCGGTCTAATCCATCGGACGATGGTTTCTTTTGAGATTGCGATCTCAAACTCGAAATTTGTATCCGATGACACGATGCACGGTTTGAGTTACAACTGCCCGAGAAGTATTCGGTGGTGTTGACTGACCGAAGGTAGTGAACATTAGCCAGGAAGAAAATCGCTCAGGTGGACTCTCTTCTTGGCTAATTGAGAGTGTCCCAATTATAAGTGGGGAAAATGTCGGTGCTGTAATTGGGGCACCGATATCACTTGATGCACGATGTAGGTCCAGGGCGGACGGACAGGTGTTTAGATTCAGAACATTCCACGGTTGAGGCGAATGTTTTGGGTAACCTAAGCAAAAATCTCAGCTGTTTTTGTTCAGGCTCACCGCGCGGTCGCGGGGGGGGGAGGGGAGGGGCCACGACCGAAACCCTCTGGAATGTTCTGTTTACAGGTCGTGACGATGCTCGCGACCAAATTGTGAATATATAGATGTATATTGGTTTGAGAAAGCCTTTATTGTTAAGGCTTTAATTGTCATATAAAAATTTACTGGAATAAAAAGCATTTGATATTTAACACTGGAATTAAGTGGAAGTATTTATCGAGTCATAAGAATAAAAAAAAAAATTAAAAAAATAACTGAAATAAATATTCCAAATTAAGAAGACTGAAATTAAACTGTTGTTCCAGTTTTATAAACTTGCTAATAAAAAAAATAACTTCTCATTAAAGTATCAGTAATTGGTTAGAGCAATATTGTTTGTG